TTAAATCTAGATTTTACTCAAGAATGTCTAGCAGCACCCCCACAACAATAACAAATACAACTTCAGACAGGGCATCACCCCAACCCCTCTGCCTGTGGATCCCCAGCTTTCCAGGGCTCTGTAGCTTCTCTCAGTATAAAGGGGTCAAGCTGGGACACCTCCAGGGGAGGCTCCCTAGAAGAACCAACTCAATGACATGACTTGCAATTACCTCCCTTTGCAGGGTCCAGATTGGCCTTAACAGAGCCACCGGCCCCAGGTCTCTGCTCCCCGGTCAAGGCTACCTACTTCTCTTTATAAGCTTTCCATAGATATTTAAAGGAAAATACCCATATGTGATGAATCCAGCAGAATCACTCAAATTCAATGTTTATAGGAGGGAGGGAAACTAAGCCATATTTTATAGCTCAGCAAGAAAAGCATCCTCCTCTGGCAACAAATGTCATTTCATTACTATATTATGATACATATATATTGGTTTTCATCCATTTTTCCTGGCTCATAATTCTCACAGCCCTGTTATACTGCTGTGGCACTTTAGGCTTCAGAGGCAGGACTCAGAAGACAGACTCTCTCTCACTGACCTTCTCCTGCTGTCCTTCACCTGCCCAAGGAAGGAGTCTAATCTTCCCAGCTTTTCTGATTGTGGTCATCAGACACTCATTTCAGAAGGGGTCCTGTCCCATACCCTGGAGGAAGGAATGCTGCACAGAGAAGCCAAAAAAATCTGAACAGACAGGGCTTGGTGGATTTCTCCATTCGGTCTATCAGCATTAGATTCTACCTTTTTTGTCCAGCCAATTTCTACATAGTTATGAATCATGCCTATCCAAGGAGGTCTCAAAAAAAAGGCCCCAGAGGACAGGATTCAGAAAGCTCCTGGACAGCTCAACACATGCAGGCTTATAGGAAGGTAAACAAGAACTTATCCATCAGCTACGAGGGTGGCACATCCCAACCCCGGAGACAGAAGCTCCTGTGCTCAAGACCCTTCTAGACCTCACCTTATGTGTCTCTTCACCTGGATGTTTATTTGTATCCTTTAAAATATCCTTGGCTGGGCACGGTGGCTCACATCTGTAATCCCAGCATTTTGGGGGGCCGAGGTGGGTGGATCACTTGAGGTCAGGAGCTCGTGACCAGCCTGGCCAACATGGTGAAACCCCGTCTCTACTAAAAATACAAAAATTAGCCAGGCGTGGTGGTGTGCACCTATAATCCCAGCTACTCGGGAGGCCGAGGCAGGAGAATAGCTCGAACCTGGGCAGTGGAGGTTGCAGCAAGCTGAGATTGCACCACTGCACTCCAGCATGGGCCACAGAGTGCAAGACTCTGTCTCAAAAAAAGAAAAAAGAAAGAAACCTGAGAGTTAGGTATGGTGGCTCACACCTGTAATCCCAGCACTTTGGGAGACCAAGATGGGAAGATCACTGGGCAACATAGTGAGACTCCCAACTCTACGAGAAATAAATAAATAAATAAATGAAATGAAAGATGACTGTGAAGATGAGTAACTGTTTCCATGAGTTCTGCGAGCCACAATAGCAAGTTAAACCCAACGACAGCACAGGAACTCCAACTTGAAATCTGTGGGTTATAATTGGCCCAGACTTACCACTGATACCTGAACGGTAGGGAGTGGCGGGCAGGGAGGGAGGGATGTGGGGACTGAGCCATCAATCTGTGGGCTCTGAAACTATCTCAAGGGTAGATAATATCAAAACTGAATTGGGGCCGGGCGTGGTGGCTCAGGTCTGTAATCCCAGCACTTTGGGAGGCCGAGGCGGGCGGATCACGAGGTCAGGAGTCCGAGACCATCCTGGCTAACATGGTGAAACCCCGTCTCTACTAAAAATACAAAAAATTAGCCGGGCGAGGTGGCGGCGCCTGTAGTCCCAGCTGCTCGAGAGGTTGAGGCAGGAGAATGGCGTAAACCCGGGAGGCGGAGCTTGCAGTGAGCCGAGATCGTGCCACTGCACTCCCGCCTGGGAGACAGAGCGAGACTCCGTCTCAAAAAAAAAAAAAAAAAAAACTGAATTGGAAGAGACCCAGTTGCTGTCCACCGCAGGATACACTGCTTGCCTTTTGGTAGGGAGAAAACTCACACTTGTGGTCACAAAAGTCTTCTGTGTTGATGGTTGTTATTGAAATAGAAAACTCTTTGGAGTTTGAGTGTGTTCTTTCCACACAGAATTACTATTTCCATAATAATCATTTAGTACACAAAAAATCGTAATTGAGTACTTTTTTAGGTGTTGCTAAATGCTGTCCCACAGGATTTAGCATTAATCTGCCAAGTTCACATAACAGGAAACACACTTATCCACGGTCACAAATTCTTCAACCCACGAAGAAGAACTGAGGTTATGGAACATCTTTGTAATTCACCAGTATAATCCACCACACTTTCTTCTGAAAACAACTCATTTTTTCTATAACCAAAATGGAAGAGAGGTTTTCTCCCTATTTCTTTTCCCTGGTAGTATTTTCGTGCTAAGGCCTAGAATTCCATTTGAAATCACCCAATAGAAAAAGGAGCTGAGAAACTTACTACACAGGCTCTGGGAAGAAAAATAAGAATTTTTATAAGGGAATATAAGACTAGACTTTTTTTTCCCTAAAACCTACCTTCTTCTGGCATGTTTTGAAATACTTTATCTTCATCAATCTCCAATGATACAGTGCATTTTACAGTTATTAAAAAATTGAAGCTGATGGCCAGGCGCGGTGGCTCACGCCTGTAATCCCAGCACTTTGGGAGGCCAAGGAGGGCAGATCACTGAGGTCGGGAGTTCGAGACCAGCCTGACCAACATGGTGAAACCCCATCTCTACTAGACATACAAAATTAGCCAGGCGTGGTGGCAGGCACCTGTCATCCCAGCTACCTGGGAGACTGAGGCAGGATAATCGCTTGAACCCAGGAGGCGGAGGTTGCAGTGAGCCGAGATCGCACCATTGCACTCCAGTCTGGGCAACAACAGTAAAACTCCGTCTCAAAAAAACAAAAACAAACAAACTGAAGCTGAAATGAGTAAACCAATTTTTTCAAGGTGCTAAACCCAGGGAGGGGCAGTGCTGACCTGGAACACTCAAGCGTCTGACTCAAGTGTCAGGTCACATCATCCTATCACTGGGGACATCCCCCCACCTCCACGCTGCTCCCTGAAGTGCTCAGTGGCCACCCTCCCAGAAGACACTAAACTGTGCTTTTCAGGTTCTTGCAACACCTCAATGAGGGTGGTTTTCTCCTTTCACTAGACAGAGAATCCAGAGGACAGAAATCTTTTTTTTTTTTTTTTTTTTTGAGACGGACTCTTACCCTGTCACCCAGGCTGGAGTGCAGTGGCGCGATCTCGGCTCACTGCAACCTCCACCTCCCGGGTTCAAGCAATTCTCCTGCCTCAGCCTCATGAGTAGCTGAGATTACAAGGGTATATACCACCACGCCCAGCTAATTTTTGAATTTTTAGTAGAGTCGGGGTTTCACCATGTTGGCCAGGCTTGTCTCGAACTCCTGACCTCAGGTGATCCGCCCACCTCGGCCTCCCAAAGTGCTAGGATTATAGGACGGAAGTAATTTGTTTGATCTCCATACCAGAATTTGATTGGCTGACTAGCCATGTGTCCCCAAGGAATAGCAGGGGAAGAAAAGGCGTGTCCCAAGGGATTAGTTTTCTGCAATAATGATATAGGAGACTGCTCCCACCCCAGGGCATCCAGCTGCTCCCTGGGGAAGCCTCACCCCCACACCACAGGCTCTTTGGGAGGAGTGACCTAGGGGATGATATCCACTAGACTTCCCCAAGAGACTTGGCAGCTGTGGGCATCTTGGGCCAGCCCCAGGTAGTCCTGAAATCTAGGATCAGGAAAAGGCAGAGGGTGGGCTGAGGTCACACCACTGTAAAGTTTCCGAAGAGGAATCTCAACCCAAGACATTCTGGGAAGGTGTCTGTGTCTAGGGCAGATAAAGAGAGACACAAAGATTGTTCACGGTGGAGTGTCAGGAGGTTTTTCTCTCAAATGTTCACAAACACAAAGCAAATTTTTTTTTTTTTTTGAGACGGGAATCTCGCTCTGTTGCCCAGGCTGGAGTGCAGTGGCTTGATGTGGGCTCACTGGCGTGAACCCGGGAGGCGGAGCTTGCATTCTCCTGCCTCAGCCTCCCCAGTAGCTGGGACTACAGGCCACCACGCCAGGCTAAATTTTGTATTTTTAGTAGAAACGGGGTTTCACCGTGTTAGCCGGGATAGTCTCGATCTCCTGACCTTGTGGTCCGCCCGCCTCGGCCTCCCAAAGTGCTGGGATTACAGGTGTGAACCACCGCGCCCGGCCAAAGCAAATATTTTTAAAAGAGCTATATACTGCCCTCTAAAAAATGACAATTAAAATACTGCCTGTGTTTGAAACATAGCCTGGAGGACGAAGAAGTGATATTGTTGTGAACTGAATAAAGGAAATCCATGTTATGAAATGCGGAGAGGGATCAGGAAATCCCAAATTTGCTGCCAGCCTTAGAAGGCAGCCTAGGGACCACAGGCGCAGATTTGAGACCCTGCTTCGCGTATATTTGGGAAACTCAGATAAAATTCAAAGCTCCAGGTGAGAAAGGGGGAACTGGGGACCCCACAGCCTACCGCTCCTCTCACACGAACCCATACTCGAGGCAGGATTGCCCCCATGACCCTCCCGTGGCCCCCGTACAATCTGGGGAGACGCGGGGTAGCGGGCACGGAGCTGACCAGAGAGGGCGCTGGGGCCGGGGCCGGGGCCGCAGACCATTGTGCAGGGACCGGACCGGACGGGACGGCTCGGGGTCCCGGCTGCCGTCGCAGCCCCATCCCGCGGCCTGAGAGGAAGCAGGGTCAAGGTGCACCAGGGGGACATGGGTCCCAGATCCCGGAGTCACCCACGAAGAGGCCCAGGTCCCGCCACAGCCTATTCCTGCCGGTTCCAACCAGTCTCATCCTAGTCTCGGGACCCTCAGCCCCGCACACTCACCATTTCCTGGCTTCCAGGTGTCCCAGGGTCCTCCCTACGGCTCCTGCTGCCAGTACGGGTCCCAGTGTTACAGAGGATGCTACAGACATGTCTGTGGGTGTCTGTTAGCTACAGAGTAGGAGCCGCGTTTAGAGGGGCGAAGACGTCGCGCACCCACCTCCCGGCAGCGCCTGATCCACAGTTCTCAGGACCCTACCCCATGGCCATGATTGGATAGGGCTGCAGGTCCTGCCCCCTGGAGACTGAATAACAGAAGAGGCGATCTCTCTGCTGAGTGCAGCCGGATGAACACAGCCCTTGGCAGGCGGCTTCCTCCCAGTGCAGTGACCCGACCCCTCCTGGGGAGAAATTTGCTCTTAAGCAGAATTCCCTGATTGATTGTACTCAAGGCCCTGAGTGGAGCCGGATGAAAAGGTTCCAGACACAGCCCTTGGCAGACGGGCTTCCTCCCAGTGCAGTGACCCGACCCCTCCTAGGGAGAAATTTGCTCTTAAGCAGAATTTCCTGATTGATTGTACTCAGTGTCCCTTCCTGATTCTTTCTGCTGGACGGGCAATCATAAGTGTGCGCTAGGAATCCCAGACTCACTGTCCAGTGGCGCCACCTCCTGGCCTCAGAGCAGGAGGAGGGGTGTCTGATGTCCTCCAGGGATCAGGAATTTGGCATGAGGCTGCTGGCGACATGGCCAAGCCCTTCTCCCACCTGATCTCAATCTGCTTTTTCTTTTTTTTTTCTTTTTTTTTTTTTTTGA